ACCTATTGGAAAGGATGAACCACGATTACAGAAGGGGCTCACAGTAAGATATCTATTAAAACCCAGTGAGCTAGAAGAAGGGCATATGCATAGAAAAACTGACCCATGGTGGTCATTGCATATCTATAAAATCAAAAAAGTTATTGTTGGTAAAAATCTATCACAGCCAGTCTTATACTATCTTGAGGATGAGCCAATTGATTTAACTAAACATTTAATAGGTCATAATCCCAAAAGACCTTTTAAGAGAGAGGAGCTTCAAGAAATCGAGAATCCTGAAAAGGATGAGTACCTACCTGATGAGTTTATACAAAAATATCACCCCTCTGGATCGATACATTTCATTCATATTTCTAATAATAAATTTGACAGGGTGCAACAATATGCTAGAAGATGTGGTAGAAGTATCTTAGCTAAAACTGGGCGAATAAATAATCAGAATATATTCTTCAAGACTTGTGAAAATGGACTGCATCAGTTTTAGTACCTGTTTCCATTGATTGCAACGAAATTTAAGTAGTATCCACTTTGTTTTCACAATAAGAATGAGCGATGCTGTAGATATATCTTTGAGGAATTATTAGATAAGAAGTTCCCACCATGTTCGGATAAATTTTTAGGTGGACTCAGACTTGATGGGTATAATGAGGAATTGCGCCTGGCATAGGAGCATTAGGGAGTACAACACTATCATCAGAATGCAATGTTCCACAAGCGAGGTCAAATTGATTTGGATAAGCAAAAGACACGCAACGAAAAAAAGCGAGAGATATGTAAGAAGCAAGGTATAGATCTGATTGAAATACCATTCGACTTAGATTTATATGCATTTATAAAAAGTAAATTGCAAGAGAGAGGTTATTTATCGCATAAAGAATAAACATATAAGTATTACTTAGATTAATCAGAATGGAAGAAGAAAAAATGCTCATATTTGTATACAATATCAACGAGACATCTAACAAATCCTCAGAATGAATGAAAGGTAATAAGTATTCACCAGATGCCTCATTCAGATTACTGGTATGTGGAGGTTCCCATAGTGGAAAAACTAACATGGTTATAAATCTTATGCTTGGTAACAAACTACAACGTATGTTCAAGGAGAAAAAAGGTCAGCAGTATATTAGAAATGATGACCTTGTATTAATAGGCAAGCATTTTGAGCCTAAATAGCAACTTGTACAAAATAGGTATCAGATCTTTGCAAATAGCCCAAAACCATATCGAGAGGATGTTATATTCAAAAGGTTATCTTCAAATAAAATTCCAAATATAACTAAATTTATACCAGAACGAAGTACAGTTGTTGTGTTTGAGGATTTATGTGCTGAGCCAAAGAAAGTACAAAAACAAATTATTCTGTACTTCATTAGTAGCCAGCATCAAAATATCTCACCCATATATGTGAGCCAGAAATATACACAAACTTCTAAAATTATCTGTAAAAATTTGAGCCATCTTGCATTATTTAACAATAGGGGGTCCCAAGACGACATTTATAGAATTGTGCGACAATATACAGATAATTCGAAAAAAGCATCCAAAATTATTGATAAATATTTGCAGGATCAAGATTTCGTGGTCTTTGACTTTACTAAGGCAGTTGATGATTCTCTCGCAATTAGATTGGGTTGGGACACACCATTGAAATTAGATAAATAGAATAAGGCTTGACAATTAATAATTATTTTTTCTGCTATAATTTTGTCATATTAATATAAACACATCCTACTCGCCACTTCTTATTGAGAAGATGCACATATCCAGCTTACCTAGTATTTAAATTGAAGTGGATGTTTTTAGTATCTTATTCGCTACTATTCTCCAATGAAATAGCTATCAGTATCCAGCCTGATTGAGGTTGAAGTAAATGTTGAAAAATAAATAAATTCTATTTGTACCAAGAGAAATTTTTGTACCATATAAAACGACTGTATATAAAAATCAAAGTAAAAAATATTACTAGCTTTTCTTTAGGAAAGATAACAAAATAAAATTTATTTTCAATAAATATATATAAATATATAGATATGTGTATTGCGAAGCTATAGATTGATAATTTGATGCATTTCTCCATAAACTGTCTATAATAATTTATTCGATTCTAATAAATGGCAGGTATTTATTATCAATATATAATTCAGGATTTTGTATCCACTTTAACATTACATACCATTGCTTACTATTGATTACTCTGTATTCTTGTTGTCCTAATAAATTTAAAATGTGGTTATATAATTTTTTTTGTAATTAATATTTCTTAGCATCTGCCCAACTTTTAGGACTATAACGATAAAACATTTCAGGTAAATTTCAAGCATATGCTGGTACATCTTTAGCTAGAATCGTTCTCCCACCATATCCAACATAAGAAGTTTCAGGAAGTCTTATTTTTCGAGAAGTTATACCTAAAAACTTCTTGTTCTCAGAAGTATCATCATTTCTGACTGCTTCCCAGATTCTATTAGATTCTGATTCAGGCTTTTTCTTATAATTTCAATAAGCAGTTTGTATAATTCTTGCTTTTCCGAAATTGGTCTTTGGTTTATTACAATCATTATCCCAATAACTGGTCATCAAATCACTAGGTACGAGATGATCAACATATCTTCGTCTAGTAAAATGGAATAATTTTTTAGGTTGTACGTCATCAATTTTTATAAGTTTTCAGCAACCAAAACAAATAGCCATATGACTTTTATGAATCCTTGGTCTGTAATAATTGAAATTAACAAATTTACCTTTACCATATGACATAAATAAACA